TTTTTTTATTGGATAACTACTTGATGAGAACTTACTTTGTATGAATTGCCTTCTTGGAGCTAGGGATAATCAGTGAACAAATACAGTTTCTGCTATCATGTAGCTTATGTTCTAGTGGAATAAGTCTGGGACAGTCAATCCTGACTTGAACTGAGAATTGTCCTGCTTAAATTCCTGAAGAAGGCTACTCTATATTCTCCTGTCATTTCCTTACAGAAGCTTCTTTTGTCCTTTAATCTAGTATGGAGCCTGGTTAGTGAGAGCCCTTACCCTCCAGTTATATGGCTGTGTCCCCTGCAGGGACCTGGGGGACTCTGTTCAGCACTGTTATGCATTCATTTGAATTGCTTGGTACCCAAGGTAGTCTGCTGCATGCTAATGCTGCTCTGGGTACTGTCATTGGTTAACTACACATAGCATTCAAGTTCCTAACTTAGGTAGCAGAGCTAGTTAATAAATGACAATCTCTATAAGACTAGAAATATTTTTCTATAACTGTTATTAGCTAACACAAGTTAAAAGGTAACTCAGGACTGTAATATTATTTATGTAAATGATATTATCTATTTGTCAAGTCTACAAATAATCTAATGTGTATCAGTGTAATGGAAATTTCCCTGGAGAAGTCGTTAATGGGTCATCATATCAGCAGCTAGTTCTGAAAAAAAAAATCATTCAGTTGGTGACACCTACATCAAACAAAAGTTCACAATGTTTCAAAATCAACAAATAATCTAGAAGTTTTTGGTATAGCAATTTGCATAATCAAATCTGAGTATTTCTCTATGGCCAATTCTAATGGTTCCTATATTTGGTTCCCCATATGCTGATAATTATTTGGCATCCTCATAGAAAGTGGTAGCTCTGTGTACCTCACCTCCAAAGTTGCCAGTAGTTGCTCCTTTCTCTCCTCCTAGTGACTCCATACCTATACCAGGCTATGAAGGGCTTTGTAGTACAGGGAGGGGATGATTGGCTTGGTTCTAAGGATATCACAGTCAGGGTGTGTGGAAGGAGATTGGAGAGGTTAACAGGTCGTGTTTAATGAATAAGTAAAAAATTAGTACTACTCAATTGCCGGTCATCCTGTCTCCCTCATTCATTCATACCACTGTTAGGGTTTCAGCTCTAAATCACCCATTCTGGAAAATTCCTTAGTTTTAGGCAAACCAAATCAGTTTGTCCCTTCTCTGGATATCATTCACCCATCACAGAGGAATGACTACTTTCTTGTGGACAGACACATTCTGAGATTCATGTCCATTGTCACCATACACCAAGAACTCCATAGGGCAGAGATTCCATAATACTAATGTCTGTGATCCCGGGCAACCTCAGGCCAGGTACAGAGGACAGCTTTGAGTGGCTGGGGCAGGGAAGCCTTATTCTTTGAGAATAGATGAGAGAACTAAGGGTGCTCAATCTGAAGAGGAGACTCAGAAAGGAACCACAGAGTTTCTAGGATAGATGGCAGATCTGCATAGGGAAGGAGCATGTGACAGAGCTGAGTTAACAGCATTACAGAATTCTTGTGAGGGATGAGCTCACCTGAGAGGTGAGCTAGGTGTTCCCTGGAGGTCATATCTGCTGGTCACACAAGAGGCTTTGCCCTGTAGACTTGTTGACTAGGCTCTGAGAGCTCTGGCCTCCCTGCCCTCCTACTCCCTTCCTCCTTGTTCCTACCTTGTGCCCAAAGAGCCAGTGGGAGGGCGGGGATGGGAACTGCTGGGTGGCTTTGAGCAGCCATTGCCTGCGCAGGTAGAACTGGGCTGCCTTGAACAGCAGCAGAAGCAGGCAGAGCAGGGAGGCCAGCTGGAGAAACCCAATGATGCCGCCCTGGAGTCTGAAGAAGCTCAGTGCAGAGACGCTCATGGTGCAGCAGCTTCTAGATTATTTGCTGTTTCTTAGTGTCACTGAACACCCACCTGACCTACTCTGCCTCTGCCTGGAAATATATCCCTCCTACCTGTGGGAGGGAGAAAGTAGAGGGCGGAGCTTGACCTCAGAGTCCAGAGTTGGTTAATATGAAAGATCCACCGTGGAAGACAGGGATTTTGGTCAGCTGATAGTGATAGGGGTCATACGTATACTATTTTACCCCTCTTCCTTTCACTCATAAATATTTATTTATTCATTTATCTGTTGACCACTTTCCCTGTTTTTTTTCTTTTTTTAATTTGAAAGCGAGATTATTTTTTATTTGTACACAGTAACAGTACAGTGTGATATTTCAGCACACGGATGCAGCGTGTACTGATTCTACAAGGGTACTTATCATTCCCATCTCCTTTAACATTTATCTTTTCTTTCTCTTTTCCGTTGACAAAGTTTTATTTTTTAAATATCAAACAAGATTATCATACAAAAACAGCTATTCTGCTAAAGCACTGTCTAAAGTGGGGGTCTCCATGCCCTGGGCCTCTTCCCAAACATCATGGCTTTGACTGCTGCTCTACTGCCCCCGCAGAGAGTTCCTAGAGTACACTTAAGAAGTTCGGCTCCTGTGTATTTGCTTTAGAATCACCAATGTCAAGTTCTCGTAGTAGATGGTGAGTGACCCTCAGTGAGACTGCAGAGCACCTAAAGTATCTATCTCTTGGGTAGCTAGTGCTTCCTGGTGTCCAGGGCTGTGGTGAATGAGTGTCTTGCATTGCTCCGTGAAGCATTCAGTCACTTCTTGAGGGGGCTGAGCATGCTCATGTGGGCTCTGGGCACATTTGCCAGCTCCTACTGCCTCTGATGGGTGAAGTCTTAGCTTCAGCTCACAAGCCTTATCCTGTAGCTTCTCCCTTCTTGGTACATTAGCAATTAATTCTTTGGTGCCCCTCCTTTGAACTGAGCATGCCTGTTCTCCATCCCATGCTATCTTTACTTTTCTGGAGCAGGTAGGGTTTCCTTCTGCCTTTACACACCTCCCACTGGCTTTTAACCCCTCTGCTGCAGGAGCCTTTTTGGTCATGTTCTTCATGTACTGCAAGCGAGGACGCTCGACCACTCTCTGACCTCACACTCCTTTCTCTGACCTCACACTCCTTTCCTTTTGTCTTGGTGCCAAGGAGAGTGTTAGAACAGATCACAGAAGCCTTCTCAGCCGTGACCTGGGACATCCTCAGTGTCCCTCTTCCTCCCATCCTTCCTAGCCTTTAGTGACTACTGTTTTACACTCTACTTCTATGAAACCAGCATCTTAGCTATAATCAATAAATGGACCAAAGAACTGATCAGACACTGCACAGAAGAAGAAATTCTGTCAATCAACAAATATATGAAAAAATGTTCGACATCACTATCAACTAGAGAAATGCAAATCAAAACTACACTGAGATTTCATCTCACTCTAGTCAGAAGGGCAACAATGAAGAATACAAGTAACAATAAATGTTGACAAGGGTGTGGGGGAAAAGGCACACTCATACATTGCTGATGGAACTGCAAATGGGTGCAGCTACTCTGGAAAGCAGTATGGAGATCCCTCAGAAAACTTTGAATGAAACCACCATTTGGCCCAGTTATCCCACTCCTGGGTATATACCAAAAGGACTTAAAATCAGCATACTACAGTGATGTAGCCACATCAATATTTATAGTGGTTGAATTCACAATTGAGCTAAGCTTTGGAATCAACCTAGGTGCCCTTCAACAGGTGAATGGATAAAGAAAATGTGGTCTATATACACAATGGAATATCACTCAGTCATAAAAAGAATGACTTCATGATATTTTCAGGTAAATGGATGGATCTGGAAACTATTATGCTAAGTGAAATATTCCAATCCCCAAAAACCACAGGTCAAATGTTCTTTCTGATATGTAGATGCTAACACACAAAAACGGGGGATGAAGAAGCATAGAATTTCAATAGATTAGACAAAAGGGAATGAAGAGAAAGGGGGGGACAGGATTAGGAAAGACAATGGAAAGTATCTGACTTAAATTTCCTATATACATATACAAATACACAATAGTGAATCTCAGGTATAATCACAACACTGGGATCCTAATTAGAATAAAAGTGTACTCCATATTGGTCTAAGTATGTTAAAGTATACCCTACTGTCATGAATAACTAAAAAGAAGAAAAATTTTAAAAAGAGAAAACATGGAATTTGTATTTCTGTGACTGATTGATTTCACTTAATTCAGTGTCCTCCAGTTCCATGCCAGTTGCTGCAAATGCTAGGATTTTATTCTTCTTGTGGCTGAATAATATCCCATTGTGTATATACCATATTTCCTTTATCCATTCTTCTGTTGAGAGACACCTTGTTTGAGTCCATATCTTGGCTATTGTTCATAGCACAGCAATAAACTTGGGAATGCAAGTATCTCTTTGTTATGCTGATTTCATTTCTTTTGGATAAATGCTTACTAGTAGGAAAGAGGGATCATATGGTAGTGCTGCGCCCCTCCCCTGACTCAGGCAATGGCAAGGCCCTACTGAGGTGGATGGTGCAAGGCGTTTCATCCTCTGGAGGAGCACGGTATGTTTCTGGGAATGGGCTGGTTTGTTTTTGTATTCCTTTAATAAGTATAGTTGCGATTTCTCATATGACCATTAAGTATGAGGAAAAAACATGACTTTCTCAATTAATGCAACTACTTCTAAAGAATAGAACTATTTGCTCTAAATGCAATGATTCAGCTGTGGAGCGTAAATTGTTAATGTCTAATGAAAAACTCCCTGTATTCCCGTCAAGGAAGTTTTTGAGAAATTAAATCAAAATCTAGAGAAGAAAAATTAATGTTAAGAAGACAGATTAGTGCTTAGTACTGGGCAACTTGGTCTTGTTCCTGTGCACAATGGTTTGTGCTCTTACTCTTGTTTGATTAAAATTAATAACAAGTCAACCACTTGCCGTAACCATAGCACAGGTTCCAGTCAGTAAGTCAAGAAAGAATAGTCAAGGTATAGGCCAATAGTTTGGGACATTTCTAACTATTATTAAAAGTTAACTAAGCAGAAACAGCTCAAAGCAATACGCGACTGAAAGTACAAATGCTTGCTTATGCATAAGCCAAGATACATTCTTCTATTCTAATTGTAGCTACGTCATATTTTGTTTCTTTGAATAATGATTCCTGTTTTGTAACCACAAAGTACTGTGAGCCTGCCAAAATGAAAAGTATATATGATCAACTTCACAAGTAAAGATGGGGATCAGCACCTTCACTTTGGTGTCTGTGTTGTTTCTCCACCCCTCTTTCGCCAACTCCTCACCATCCGTTTGTCTCCTGAGACCCCCCTGTTGGAGCTGGACTCCAACATGGTAGTTTAATTTTTATCTTTTTGAGAAATCTCCCACTGTTTTCTATAATGGCTGCACTAATTTACACTTCCACTGACCTTGTATCAGAGTTCCCTTTTTCCAGCATCCTTGTCACCTTGTCATTCTTTGTCTTTTTGATTATAGCCATTCTAATTGGGGTGAAATAATATCTTTATGATTTTGATTTGCATCTCTGTGGTGGCTAATGATATTTGGCATACAAGTTCCCTCCTCTCCCTTCTCCTCCCATCACTTCCCTTTATCTAATCTAAGGTAATGCTATTCTTCCCTAGTGCCCCCTGCCTTATTGTGAATTAGTCAAATATTGGCTATTATCCGCATATTAGAGAAAACATTCAGCCTTTGGTTTTGTGGGATTGGCTTATTTCCCTTAGTATGATATTCTCCAACTCCAACCATTTACTGGCAAATGCCATAATTTCACTCTTATTAAAAGCTAAATAATATTCCACTGGGTAGATATACCACATTTTCTTTATCCATTCATCTATTGAGGAACACCTAGGTTAAAAAGCAATCATGAAATTTATTTGGAAAAATAAGAAACCCAGAAAAGATAAAGCAATCCTTAGCAAGAAAAGTGAAGCAGGAGGCATCACAATACCGGATCTTAAACTATACAACAGAGCTATAGTAACAAAAATATCATGGTATTGGCAGCAAAATAGACTTGTAGACCAATCGTAGCTATTGTGAATTGATCTACTATGAACATTGATGTGGCTGTGTCACTATAGTATGCTGATTTTAAGTCCTTTGCGTATAAACTACAGAGGTATAACTGGGTCAAATGGTGGTTCCATTCCAAGTTTTCTAAGGAATCTCCATACTGCTTTCCAGATTGGTTGCACCAATTTGCAGTCCTACCAGCAATGTATGAGTGTGCCTTTTCCCCCTACATTCTCATCAACATTTATTGTTGCCTGTATTCTTGATGATTGCCATTCTCACAGGAGTGAGATGAAATCTTAAGAGTAGTTTTGATTTGAATTTCTCTAATTGCTAGAGATGTTGAACACTTTTTCATATATTTGTTGATCAACTGTATTTCTTCCCTGTGAAGTGTCTGTTCAGTTCTTTAGCTCATTTATTGACTGAGTTATTATATTATTTTTTTTGGTGTTAAGTTTTTTGAGTTCTTAATATGTCCTAGATATTAACGCTTTATCGGAGGTGCATGTGGTAGAAATTTTCTCCCAATCTGTAGGATCTCCCCTCAAGTTATTGTTTTCTTTGCTGAGAAGGAGCTTTTTAATTTGATAAATCTCATTTATTGATACTTGATTTTACTTCTTGTGCTTTAGGAGTCTTGTTGAGGAAGTCAGATCCTAGGCTGACGTGGTAAAGACTTAGGCCTATTTTTTCTTCTATTAGGTGCAGTGTCTCTGTCTTAGTGCCTAAGTCTTTGATCCACTTTGAGTTGATTTTTGTGCAGGGTGAGAGATAGAGGTTTAATTTCATTTTGCTACGTATGGACTTCCAGTTTTGCCAGCACCATGTGTTGAATAGGCTAACTTTTCTCCAGTGAATATTTTTTGGCACCCTTGTCAAGTATGAGATAACCGTATTTATGTGGGTTTGTCTCTGTATCTTCTATTCTGTACCATTGG